GACGAGCGCTCCTAGGAGCCATGCACTTTCTAGGACAGAGATGTCTCAGCAGGGCAGGCAGGAAGAGAAGGAGAGGCGAGGCGTTTTCTCTGCTGCCTGCCCTGCTCCTTCAGGTCTCGCCTTGGCCAGGGTGAGGCAGGGGCCCAGGGAGCACGCTGCCGCTTGGGAATAGCTTGCGGGAACTCCCCTGAGCTCTGGAGGTTACTTGTGGACGAAGCAAGGGAGAGAAGGGCAAAGACTTCAAAACTATATCTTGTTATCGGGGGACCTGAACCCCACTCTGAGGGAGCGGTTCTGGTTTCTGCTTTCAGATGCATTCAACCCAGAGCCCTTGTAATAGGGGAACTTTGAAAGAGGGTAGACTTGGAGCTCTGACGAAAAACTGGCAAGCAGATACTAGGGGACTCGCCTGTGCCCAAACCCTCTCACCCACAAGACTATACCGCCAATGACAGCTAACACAAGGGAGCCCCAGAACGCCACTGAGCACGCCCACGTCCTTGGGCAGGCTGCGTCTGAAGGTTAAAGTAAAGAGCAGAAAAACTCCACAGTGAAGCTTCATGGTTGTGTCCTTGTGATAGGACCATGGTAAGTCACTCAGTCTTTCTGGCCAGCCTCTTATCTACCTGAGTCAAACAGACCGTGCCCCCTGCTCTGGCTGTCGGTGAAGGAGGGCTGTCACAAGATCTAATACGTGAACACTCTTTGAATGTGAGGTTGAAGTGCAGTTACCCACAGGGCCGATCCCAGAAGCCAGTCCACGTGTTGAGCTGGATTACTCATTTTGCTGCCTGAATACAGCCACCTACCTATACTCCAGAACTTCCCAACGATGGGCCGTCACTTGCTTTGACCAAAACCCACCAGCTTCAGTACCTTCAGACCTTGTACCTCATGGCTGAGGCAGAGCCACTTGTATTTCCCTTCTGCTGAGTGTGTGCCATGGCTGAGGCAGAGCCACTTGTATTTCCCTTCTGCTGAGTGTGTGCCATAGAAGTGTCCTGGCTGTGATGCAGTTGAATGACCCCATTCTCCATCCTGGAAATAACTCTGTGGGAGTGGGCTGAAGCAGCCCGAATCCCTTACTTTGGATTCCGATTTCGATTCTATGCTGGCAGCCCTCTCCCCTCTGGGCTCCTTCAGGGTGACAGCCCTGAAGCATTTCTTTCCCGCCATTGATAAGCTAATCACAACCTTTCTCAGCTAAGGGACTGGGCTGTCCAAGGGCACACCTGTACCCCACCTCCACCTTCAGGGGCAGCTACTGTGTGTCCCTGGGCTGGGCCAGAGCTGGAAGAGGCAAGGATGGGAATGGGCAGCAGCTCATGCATCATCCAAGCCCCTCTCCCAAAGTCTTCATGGTCTTTCTTCTTGGAGCTAGAATTCTCTGCCTTTATTGTCCCCAGCAGCTGGGCCTCTGCAGGCTGCCCCTTAGCGCTTCCCTCCCAGGGAAGAACAGCTTTCTGGGGCCAAGGGTTGGCTATCAGAGCTCTGAGTGGGGCTGAAGCCCCTCCTACTCTCCCTATTCTTCTTCCTTTGGGAACTCTCAGTGCTAAAAACAAGCTTTCTGAGAACCATATTTTTCTGGGTTAAAGGTGAAAAATGCAGTGTTCCCTCCAAGTGGAACGCGCTGGGCCTGCCAGCTCCGGGCACGGTTCCGAGACCCTCCCTCCCACTCAGGGAGGAGGCAGCTCCTTGCAAGGGGTGGGGAAGCGAGGAGGTGGGCGGCCGACGGAAAGCGAGGAGGGAAGTCGGAAGGAAAGCACCAGATACTCTGAACCCATGGCTGTTAGTGTAAGGAAACCAGAGGGCCTGTTTGTGTTGGATCAGGTCTGGAGGCTGGAACGGGACTGGGTCAGGAAATGAAAGGCAAATAAGAAGGCAGAGAGCAGGACGGCCACTCAGAGGGGTGCCGGCCAGGGCCGGGGGCATCACGCTACCTCCTCACGAGCTTCTGGGGCCGTGTGGGGACGAAGAAGATCCCTGCAGGCCTTCCTGAGAGAAATCCCACGATTGGGCTTAGAGGGAACGTGGGGTTATGAAGGTCAGTTTTAATAGGAAAAGCAAGAGCATGCCCTTCCCTCACCCCGCCCTCCAGCCATCCTTGCTTAGAACCATGGGAAGTTCTGGGGAATTTTCTCAGATCCTGATTGTGGGACAAAAGCTTTTCATAAACCCATGCTTCGTGATCTCCTTCCTGGGCAGGATGGGGATTTCGTTAACCTCCGAGTTCCCTGACTACTCCTCAAACCTCCCTCTTGAGCCAGGAGCCCAGTCAGCCTTCTCCAACGTGACTCTCAGCAGAGCCACTACCCAGAAGCCCTGGCACAGACGCCATCCCCCTGCTCGACTCTGCTCCTCAGAATAACAACACTGCCAAGTGTCAGACAATGGGTGGAAGAATGAGGGAGGACAGGGGGGCAGCAGACAAGCCTGGAGGAGGGGGCAAGTGCTGCCCCATCGGACCTGGCCTGGCTGGGCCAGTCACTGGAAACCTCACGGACCCTGTCCCCATCCCCAAGCTTCCCTGCAGAAGAACACTCGTCCGGGGCCACCTCATCCCTATGGCACCACTTCTCTCAACAACGTATGACTTACTGTGGTGGGTTTAATGGCAGGGATGGCCCTGATTTTTCACCCTCCCTGTCTCCATGCCCTTCGCCAGGGGACTTCGTTGTTGCTCTGGCAATGGAGGTGGACTCTATTTCTTCATCTCTTGAATCTACACACTTTGACTAATAGGATGTAGCAGAAGTGATGAGTGGCAGTTCCAAACCTAGGCTTTAAAAGGCCTTACTTACACCTTTACTCTAGCGCTCTTACCCTCCTCTGTCATGTAAAGGGCATGTCAGGCTCGCCCACTGGTCCCTGGAGGAGCAGGAGAGCCACATGGAGCAGGCTCACATCACGCCACCGTCCCGGCCAAAGCCATCCTAAATTAGCCAACTGCCTCACATATGAACAAGTCCAGCTGAGACCAGAAGAAATGCCTAGTCAAGCCCAGCCAGGATCAGCAGAGTTGCCAAGTTGACCACTCAAGGCATGTAAACAATAAATGCTTATTCCTGTATGCCACTGCGTTTTTGTGGTTGTTTGTTACGCAGCCTTATCACGGCAAAAGATACGCTTAGAAAACCGAGGACCCACCAATCCAGGCTGAACTCGGGTCAGCTCTCTCCGACCTTCTGAACCCAGGTCTAAGCCCTCAGCTTCAAGACAATTTCTATCCTTACAACCACCTCTGCTATAAACTCATCCCACATCTCCTGGTTTTCATCCTCTGAGAGGATGAAAGAACCTTATTTATAGCTTGGGATGTACTGTCTCTTACCCTGTTTACCTTGAGCCTCCCATGTGATCAGCTCCTCTTGGGTCTCTGTATCCCTCTCACCAGCAGGATCTCTACTGCCGTGAATCCATCAGTGTCAACTTCCCCTTTTAGCCCCCTCTGCATCCCCCCCACGTTGGTGGTTCAGAATTCTTGTCAACTTCAACACACTCTTAAGTCCGCATCCCTGGGTCATTGCATTTCTCTCTGGATCACACTTGCGTGGAACAAAAGCTCATCTACAGCACAATTTTTCTGGCTTCAGCTCAGCTGGATATTTTGCTAAAATCACGATGATATTTTTGGCTGGAGGCAATTGATTCAAAATGTGCTATGAAAGCAACTCTATTACATCTTGGGAAGCACTGACCCTAGCAGTCTCCAAGGTGAAGATATTGAGGTGAGGGTGTTTGGGAGGTGGCAAAACCCACTTTCTACCATGTGGCTTTTCTCCAAACTGCCCTCATAAGGAGACATATGTAGGAGAGGATGAATTATTATACTGTTGTTGTCGTCACCATTATTCATCTGGGAAGATGGCTCCTGGTCCTCAGAGTCCCCAGGAATGGAGGCAGAAGGTTGAAGCATAAGGTGAATGCCTCTAGTTGATTTATTCATGTTATAGAGTTCTTAATGTGCCCCCAAACTGTGCTTTGCACAAATCTCAACGTCTTCGCTGAATGAATGTTGCACAAACAAGAGTCGAGTCAGGACTGGGGCTAATTATAAACCCTTGTGTGAGTTGGGTCATATTTCCCTGCTCTTTGGGGGCAGCGTTCATCTCACCTTTCCCTTAGCAAGGCCTGTCTTTGGGGAGCTGCCAGTGAGCCAGCTGTCACCAGCATCACGTGTGAATAGCAAAGGGGCACGGCCGATGGCTCAGAAGGAAGCAGCCCTGCTTCTCAGCCCCCAGCACAGCCTCAGAAACACTCATTGTCTTAGTGTTCACTTCTGGACATGGCTTCTGCAGGGATCAGTAACACCTCCACAAATGAATCAATGACTAAATGAATGAGTTCTAGCCTTCTTCATCTCCTTTATTCAAGTTTACTACAGACATTCCCCCTCTCTTTAAACAAAAATGACAGTGACCCACCTCAGTGGGTGACCCACATGTGCCTTTTAATCTGCTTATTTTAAGAGTTTCGGATTCATCTTGAGCTTCTGCAGGGATCAGTAACACCTCCACAAATGAATCAATGACTAAATGAATGAGTTCTAGCCTTCTTCATCTCCTTTATTCAAGTTTACTACAGACATTCCCCCTCTCTTTAAACAAAAATGACAGTGACCCACCTCAGTGGGTGACCCACATGTGCCTTTTAATCTGCTTATTTTAAGAGTTTCGGATTCATCTCCTTGAGCCGTCAACACTTACCGAAAAAGAATGGTCAGCTCCCTGAGAGAATGCACCCCCAAGTTACCTACCCCACTCCACTGATGCCACAAAGAGCCCAAACAAGTCTCCCTTGGGAGAAAATTTTTAGGAAGTGTGCAAAGAATTCAGAGTTGTCCACCCAAACTTGCAAAAGTATACTGTGTGGACAATTTGCAGCTATAAAAATATACACATACAAAAGGATAGCTACAAAATCATGGTGCCCATTTTCTTAGATTAGCATTATAAAAAGTAGGGATTTCTCACTAAAGGTAAACTTTGGGGGGGGGCAGCATAATAATTATAATTCTATATAGTCTCCCCTCATCCTTATTTTCATGGAATGGTCACAGCACATTGAACCAGCCAGTGAGGAGTGGAAGGGGTTAATCCTAATAATTCATGGGCCAAGGTGAGAAATTCGAAGTTCAAGGTCACACAGTCATTCTGCTGTCAGTAAGTATCATGAGTCAGAAAAGGAGAGAAGTATTTTAATACTGCCCTTTGGGTCTTTCTCGCTTTCTTTCTTTTTTTAATGCACTATGAATCACAACACAGTCATTGAGCTACAGCAGACGGGCCCTGGAATTTGCCTTGATGTGTGATCCCTGGCAGTCACTCCACAGTCAATGGACAAAGTTCGATGCTTCCTACACAGAGGATTCCTTTGGGTGTGGCCCATGGAGTGTCATTGACTCCCGTCTTGGTTCTAGTTTCTCCTTGATGAGAAGAAACACACCTGGTCCCCACGCCTCTGTGTGTGGCATCAGGCAGAGTCTCGGGGCGCCCAAGATTCTCAGGATAGTAGGCTCTGTTCCTTGGGCAAGGCCGGCTGGCATTACTTGGCTCCACACGTGTTGATGTTTTTCCCATCCACGGCGTCTTCCACGAGAGAAATGTGGTAATCGGTGGACAGGGTGAAATGAGAGATGCAGCCCACGAGGCCTCGCATGTATTGTCTGTTCGTGTGCAGAGCAATTTCCTTCATTCCCCCTGCCAGGAAGCAAGAGGGAGATGTGTGAGCCGAAGGGGAGGATGTCTCTTTAGGACACGTGCGTGTCTGCTGACCAAGGCATCCCTTGGCTGGCAGGATAAGTGAGGTCCTTCAAACTGCTCGGTACCTCTCATCTAATTTATAATTATCCCTGAAGGAACAGGTTGACTTGGATCGATCTGATACACAACCTGCATCATGCGTGATTTCTGACCCGACTGGCTACTTCATACCAAATAGTATCTGGTAAATTTTGAAATGGACAGTGTCAACAAAATGTAGTTTGTAGTTAGAGGCGATATCTTCTTAAACCAAAAGAAATACACTAATGTTGAATGCTTTCAATTAAGCGTACTTTTAGAAAATATCATATGGACAGAGACATCTTTTCATGCTTATGTGTCTGCAGTAGCGGGTTCTAAGCTATTTACAGAAATATCACTCATTCTAATTCTGAAAAGGGCTAGAAAAAGAGATTCTCCTTCCACCTAGAAAATAGTGGAGCTATATTTAGAAGGTTCCTGTTCTATAAACAAGAAAAGCATGGTTTTCCTGGTGGATCAGTCCAAAGTACAAAGCATTTAAGTGCTTCCTGCCCCCTCAGCCATGAGTCAGAAGTTCAGAAAACGAGAGGATGAATTATCTGGACAGCTGCCTGACTTCCAGCTATTTGACTGTTCCAGTGAAGGGCGCGACTTTGGGGAGCCCCAGGGCGGCAAGTGGACGACTAACAAGAAAACACACGACTAAAAACTGGCGTGTTTTAGATTTGGTCGAAGGTCACTTACCCACATACAGAGCTCCATTGATGTTGAGCTGTCTCATCATGCCTGGTGATTTGCCTGTCCTGGCCCCATAGTCATCCACGGTTACCTTTCCAGATTGGCCATCCCTGTGAAAACCACCACCATTTGTGGAGCTCCATTCAATCATTCATTCATTTCAATAAAAATGTATCCGAGTACCTACTATGCAGCAGGCACTATGATAAATGGTGCAGCTGCAAAAATGAAAAACGAACAAACAAACAAGCACATTCCTGGCCCTCAGGAGTTTTAGGCCTACTGAGAAAGACAAAACAAAAAATCAAATTGCTAATGACGATTCAGTGTCACCACTCTATGGAAGAAAAATTCCAGGATGCAGTGGAATAATGCAGGAAGAGGAGAGGGCCAGGGAATGATTCGCAAAGGAGATTCTGTCTGAGACGAGTTTTCAAGGCTGGATAGGTCAGGTGAAGGAGAAAGCTAATTAATGCAAACAGGAAGTGGCTGTGGCAAAGAGAGAAAGGAAAGCAGGTTAGTACAGACTGAACGTAGAGAATTCTAGAGGTGGGAACAGAGTGTAGAAAGATGAAGCCAGAAGTTGATGGTGAAGGGTACGAGGAGCTTAGAATTTATCCTGAAGGCGAGAAGGAAGCAAAGAACTTTAAGGGGAGGAACGATGGTGTCGTGGTGACACATGGTGAGTTTGGATGTTATTCTAAGCACAATGGGAAGCCAATGTAGCAGTTTTTGTCTGTGGAGGATTGATTACTCTAGGAAGGGATGAAAAGTGGCTTAGAAGTTTCTGAAGGATCCACATCGTCACTCCAAAGTGACTCCAATGACAGTGGAGTGGAGGTGTTTATCTGTGACAAGGGCTTTGCAGTTTTCTGAGTTGATTTCTAAAACTAAATAGCCCCACGAGCCTTTTCCAGAGAAGTATGTTTGTTTTTATTGCTTTTAGGGATATACGAACCCAGGCCTCACTTCTTTTTTTTTTTTTCTTTAAGATTTCTTTATTGGTCTTTTCATGTTTCTGATTTATAGCAAACAGCTCATGTTTCTTGGTTAATAACCTCCCTTATCTCCTGGCAATATTAATATTTTTCATCCTTTTTTTATTCATAGGCTGTTTCCCCCAAGTTGCTTTATTATGTCTATCTGTTCTGATACCATGTTTCATACTGGAGGTCTTTTCCAAATGCCTCATGATGGCTGACTGCCACTTTACAGTGAAGTATCGAGTTCTAAAAAGCAAATTGGAAGCTCTGTGTGCAGAATGGGTTTTGCTGACCGTGGCTTGATTGGGCTGTGATCTGGTTCCATCGTTTCCTAGAGGGACACCTGGATTTTCTACTCTCCTTACTGTGTCTGGCTATCAACATTTTGGAATCCCATCAGGGAAAAAATTACAGAATTCTTAATATTCAACATATGAACTTTCGCATAGTCCCCAGTCTTAATTTGTACAATATACAGTAGTCCGGTATTCATTTAGACTTAGTGTCTCCCATTCCAGACACCTTTAGTTTACTTTTTCCAATGAATTGACTTTTGTTATATTTTCATGCGTAAGGAAAGAGCAGTGTGCCAGCTACATGAAGTAGAGAAGGGGCTCGGGTTCTCACTTCTCAGGCTCTACCCCCTTTTTTGGAGGGTTGTACAATAATATAAATCTGATTATCCAGGCATTATCTCTTGATAGCATCGCTTTTAGCAACTGGATTTAGAAATATTTCTCTTGTTCTGTCCTCAACCCTCAAGACCACACACTGCTACCTCCCCATTTTGGATATGCCATTTTAGAATCTCATACCTGAATGCTGTGATGGGCAATGCTCCCAAACCTTGCCTTACCTGCCCTGCCTTTTGTCCCCATTTCTCTAAAAAATTCCATTTTTTTCTACTTTATTTCATCAGTTCTAAGAATGTTTTATTTTTAACATCTCAGAAAAAAAGATATGTCTTACAATCCATGGCATCTTAGATTCGAAAATAAACATGGTATCATCTTCTAACTTAATAAGTAATTAACTTCTTCATTATGTTTATTACTAATTGTCTATTGCCTCCCATTAGAATGCACAACCATCAAGGCAAGGATGCCGGTATTATTCAATGATGTATCCCATGTGTCTGGAATAGTATATGGCTCATAGTGGTAGATAAATGAAAAAGTGAATTTGTGGAGCTTCAACTCCTCCACTGAAATGAGAATAACTATGCCCCTCTTCCAAAGCTATTCTGGAGATCAGAGATTATGCATGCAAAGCACAGAGCATGGTACCTGATATATGCTGCTTTATAAAGAGTGGTGGAAGAATGTGTCATTATTGTTAACAATATATCATCATTCTCATCCACAAAATGAAGATTATAAAACCTAAGTTACTGTGAATATTAACTGAGATAAAGGATGTAGAGTACCTGGTATCCTGAAGATGCTTGATAAATGAGAATTTGCTCTCTCTTTTCTGCTAGGATTAATGCCTGCAAAACCAGGATTACTCAGAGCAAAACAGTATACAAAACAAGGCTCCCCTTAGCGATCTCCTTGGCATCCCAGGATTACTCAGAGCAAAACAGTATACAAAACAATTCCTTGGCATTAATTCCTTGGCATTAATTCCTCTTTCTCTGATCCTGGAACCTACTGCAGAGAATTAAGGTATCCATCCAAATCCAACCCACTTGCCACAGTTGACATCCAAGGCTTTCACCCAGTTCCTGCTTAGATCTGTCATGCCACCCTTGCAAGGCCTGTCTGATACTCTGGGACACAGTTCACGATATCCGCTTGAATCCTCACCTCTATCCAGTTCCTGGTCTCAGTTCGTTCTGTTCAACCCTCGCTGCAACCTCAGACCCACTGGGAGAGATATCAGTGATGAAAATAGTAAGAGCCAAGTCTGCTAAACCGTCTTCGTGGTGCCAAGCTCGATGCTCTGATAGATGAAACATTCCCTGCCTAATCCCCCCAAAACATCCGAAATCTTACCTGGGGTCGGCTGTACCACAGAGTGGGACGGAAAGAGCTTTGATCTAAGATTCTAATCTTGGCTCTGCCCACAAACGGTTGTATAGTCTTGGGAACGTCCTTTAACGTTTGTTTCCTTAGATGTCTAGGAAGTGCCTGAAATCCCCACCAATGTGTATCTTAAAGCACATAGTCAAACCACAACAATCTTGAGGATTTAAAAATCCTTCCACAACGTTGGAGTGTCCTACCGACCTTCTCTGTTCAAGCAAGTTGAGAGCAGAATGTTCACGGGATGAGAGCTACAGGGATGAAGTGTGGTCGAGTATTTCGTGTTTCTGAGTGAGCCCTTTTATAGCTGAGTAAGAGGGAGAAATGAGTAACTTAGGAGCCACACAGTCTAGAGTAGCGGTCCGCAGCCTTTTTGGCACTAGGGACCGGTGCTCCTGTGAGAATCTAATGGCTGATGATCTGAGGTGGAGCTGAGGCGGTGATGCTAGCGCTGGGGAGAGGCCGCAAATTCAGATGAAGCTTTGCTCGCTCACCTGCCACTCACTTCCTGCAGCCTGGTCCTAACAGGCCGCGGAGCAGAACCGGTCCACGGCCCAGGAGTTGGGGACGCCTGGTCTAGAGTATCTTGGAGTTGGATTTTACTACGAGCTTTTACCTTATATTCTAGAGGATATTTTAGATCAAACCTATAACTATTTACTTCAGGAAGACATTTCTTTTTATAACAAGTCAGAATTGAGACTTCCTCAAAATCTCTATCTCAAGGGCTTTCCAGGCCACTTGGGCGGCTGATGGGCACAGATCTGCCCCCGTGTCCTCTCACATCCTTTTAGGTATCAAAGGCAGGCACAGTGTACAAGAGAGCGGGGTCCAGCAAGGCTACTTCTGCCACAGCCTGTATGTGAGCTGAGTAGGAAAATGACCATGGTAGCCCCAGGTTTCCCAAGCCCCACTCATGACCGTCCCCCTGAACTCCCCAGGAAGGGCTGTGGCAAATTCTCAGGGAACCCAAACCAAAAAGTGCTGTGCGGCTCATCTCCTGTAAACTTCATCTACCAGGGCAGGACTGACGTTTCTTCATGCAGCTAAGTTTGGTTTCTCAAAATATGTTGTTAGGAATATAGACGTAAGTAGTAGCACTGTAATTTTGAGGGAATGATTCACCCAAAGTTAATCAGAAGTCAGGGGAGTGACTTCTGGGATGGGGGAGATATGTAATTGGGGCAGGTTACATATCGCTTCTAAGGTTCAGATAATACAATGTCTAAAATAAAAATAAAAATAAAGTGGGCCATTGCCTACATAATGAGATTTGAAGTATTCCTCAGTCTACTGCCTTGAAGTCTCATCTCACTAGAGATATCTAGATCTCACCAAACAGAGAGGCCTTCTTCCAGTTTAGCCATCAAAAAGCCCTTTCTCCAGAAGGTCACTGTTGAATGGAGATTTCAAAATATGGCCTCTCTGGCCTCTCAGTGTCAGTGAAGGGCACACATGGGCGTTGGTAGCCAACTGCCCTCAGCGACCTGGATCGGGAGTGTGGGACGTTAGGCCAGAGTGGGGAAGAGGGACCTGGACAGTTCCTCCCACTGTCTCACTCTGGGGCGGGCACTCACCTAACAGCCTTGACGCGGTGCCACCGACCATCATTGAAGGAGCCGTTCACCATGATGGATGCCACACCACTGCCCAGGTTATAGCTAAGGCCGTCGGAGAAGAACAAGGCAGACAACAGAATAAAGCACTGAAGCACAGGAAGACACGCATTCACAAATGATACGTTGCAAAAGCTCCATGCAACTCAGAATGTAGATTACTTAACACAAAACAACGCAGTAGTGTTATGAATTAGGTTTCCAAACTAGGTCATGAATGATCAGACAATGTTCTTAATTGCGGCAAAAGATACATAACATAAAACCTACCATCTTAACCATTTTTAAGTGTATAGTTCAGTGGTGTTAAATATATTCACATTGTTGTGCAAACGATCTCCAGAACTCTTTTTACGTGGCAAAACTGAAACTCTGTACCCTTTAAACAACAGCTCCCCATCCCACTTGTCCTATCCCTGGCAACTACCATTCTACTTTCTGTCTCTATGTATTCGATGACTCTGGGTACCTCATGTAAGTAGAATCATACAGTGTTTGTCTCTTTGTGACTGGCTTTTTTCACTTAGCCTAATATCCTCAAAGCTGATGTTTTTTTTAAAGCCCCATGCACAGAAGTATCAGTATAGTTTCAGGAACAAGAAGGGTTTCATCAGTTATAATGTGTTACGCAAACAAAGGTTGACTACTGTCCCCCCAAATGAATGTCCACTGAGAACCTCAGAATGTGACCTTAATTGGAAATAAGATCTTTGCAGATGTAATTAGTCAAAATGAAGCCATACTGGCTTAAGGTGGCCCTACATCCAATATGACTGGTGTCCTCATAAGAATAGGAAATTTGGACACAGACACACAGGGAGGAATGCCATATGAAGATGAAAGCAGAGATTGGAATGATGCATTTACAAGCCAAGGCACGCCAAGGATTGCCAGCCATCACTAGAAACTAGGAGAGAGGCATGGAACAGATTCTCCTTCAGGGCCCCCAGAAGGAACCAACCCTGCCAGCACCTGCGTGTTGGACTTCCCGCCTCTAGAAGTGCGAAAGAATAAATGTTTGTTGTTTTAAGCCACTCAATTTATGGTCATTTGTTACGGCAGCCCCTGGAAACTAATACATGTGTTTTCACTTTTTAAAAAACAAAACGGAACGGAACACTGCGGAGTAGGCTAAGCCCCAAAGAGATTAAGGAAATCGTCTAAAATTCCAAAACTAATTCCAAAGCTAAAAGTATAAGACTTGAACTTGGTGTCTTATCTGCCTCTCCCACCCCCCATTTTACTGTGATATCTGGTCCACTCAGTAACTTTCTATTTTCTATTTGTTTCCAGATACCCGGATACCCTAAGGTTATCAGAAGACATGCACATGTTGTTTACCAGAGAGAAATATCCCTCTCAGTCCAGGGTTCATTCAATTATTCTAATTTAATTCAATTCAACAAATATTTAGTGAGTGACTACTCTTGGCTGGGCACTGGGCCAACTGCCTAGACCTCCTCTTGATAATATAATAAAGCCTATGTAATCATAATCATGCTTTTGAAGGAAAATGAATCCCACCCGGGATTACTCCCTCCTTATCTTGTAAGAGGACATGTTACTCTTTTACCTCACTGGCAAAGAAATTGGAATGACGAACCCTGGCTTGGTTCCTGAGCTCTTGCATGCACTCAGTCTGAGAAGAGAGCAAGAATAGAAGGCGTCTGGCTTTCCCCAGAGAAAGCACTCCGGGTCCTTTCTTTAATAATGGAGGCTCAGAGAAGTCACGCAGCCCATCGACATTTAAACAAGAATAGAACTTGGGCGACTTGACAAACTATGAGACAAAGCTGTGACTCTGACCCTAAAAACCCACTGTTTTCTAATGCATTTTCCCACATCAAGTATAAAGTCCCTTGTATAAAGCAGCCTGGAGGTGGAATTTTCAAATTTCATTATTTAGTGGCCAAATGCTTGTTGAGGAAATGAATGAATATGAAGCCTGGCTGAGAGCTGGTTGGCAGAAACGTAGCTGAATGACTGCATGTGGCTTTTACGAGAGGCAGCAGGGGTGATAGAATGAGCAGGAACATGTGGATTAGACTAACTTGCCTTGATTCTCACTCTTGCAAATTATGAACTCAGTGACTTAGGGCAATTTGCCTCATCTTTCTGAGCCTCAGTTTCCTCATCTGTGAAATGAGGGTAATTATACCTCCTCCTAAGACTTGTAAGGGATATTAAGTAAGATAACATGTGTAAAGAGCACAGCACACAGTAGGAGCTAAACAAATAATCCCACCACCCCAAGTATGTGCCATACTTAATGCAGCTCTCAACAGGGTGGACGGCATATCCGGAGGAATTGGCAGGAAGGAGGAAGTTGCTACCAAAAGTTAAACTGGCTGAGCCTCTCCTGGAAGAGTAGTCATGTGTGAGAGTAAATCAACAGTCTGTAAATATGTAACTGAAAAGGTCAGGAATACCCAGATCTCTGAACAGAGGTTACCTGGGTATAATTGCAGACACACTAGACTGGCACGTGATTGTGATCCTGTGAATGGAAACCTTTTCAGTCGTGTTTGGACACACTGTGTTCTCCAGGTTGAGAGCACTCCCATTCGTGCAAAGAATCAGAATGTGCTCAGAGGAGTCGGCACTGCATCTAGCAGGAATCCAGCCATCACGGGGAAGGCGGGGGCGTGCGGGGACATGACACTCAACCAGCATCTCCATGGCCTGACTCTCCACCGCCCCCATCTGATTTCAGACCCTCCAAATAATCTCCCGATTCCCCAGGCACCCTGATACTTCACCCTGGAATCTCTCTTTCTTTTATAAAATAATAAAATAACGAGAATGGTGGTTGGCTTTGTTGGGAGGGGGCATAAGGAGGCCTTCTTGGGTGTGGGAGATATTCCATATTTTGTTCTGTGTGGTGGCTCCACGGGTCTTCACATGTGTTCGAATTTATCAAACTGTATACCTAACGTTTGCGCACTTCCTATAAATTATAACTCGATTTTTTAAAAAAGTAAAAACATGGGCATGAATGAAAAACTAAATAAATGCATGTCTGGTTTTGCTACCAATGTCTCGTGCATCTGGTTAGCATGAATAGATTATCCTGATCCAAGTTTTCCTACTCAACTTGGCATGCAGCTATGAGGCTGAGCACCAAGGTGGGCCACCAGGAAGTGCCACCAAATGAGGCCTTTTGGAAACCACTTGGCAGCCTCCACGTGGTGACACTTCTACTTAGCCATGCCCCCTTTAAACTATAGCACCAGGCACCTTGCCAATGGCAGATCTCTTCCCATTCTCTGTTGCATGAAAACGTTATCAAGGTCACGTGGAAAATTAGTGGGAAAGATTGTCAATCAAGTGATTTTCACAAACCTGCTTGCTGCGTTTTTATGCCCCACATATAATTGTAAAACAAAACAAAACGATCTTAGCTGAGCACTTTGACTCCCTTTCTTCTGCTTAATCTTGCATAAAACCCATGAATAATTTTTTTAGTGTTCCAGTGTTTTCCCTTATTCTCTGACAGAAGGGTTTTGAGCACTAAATTAACAAAAGGACCGGCATTCAGATGAAGAAAAAAGTCAAGAAAGTTGAGAATACATTTTATTATCTTAGGTTTCCTATTGTTTGCTTTGGACCTGGATCAAACACCAAAACCTCAAAAATGTTTTGTCTGCGAGTCAGACTAGACCAGCTCACTCTCTAGGCTCCACTGATGTAAGCTGCTTGATGGCAGGGCCTGTGTCTAATTGAAAAGAATAATAATAATAGCAATAATAATAGCTACATTTTATAAAGCAGTTACATTGTGCTAACTGCCTTACATATGTTATTAATCTGAGGTAGGGTAGGGCTTTTTAGAACATGGAAAACACTTGATCAAGGACAATAATTTTGATAATTAGTATCACTAATACTAGATTTGCCAGGCCCTGCACTAAGTCCTCTATATGAATGAACTCATTCACTGAGGTCCAGAAACTTTCAGGGGGTCACGTGGCCACAGGAATCTTTCCTGTCTGACTTGAAGCTCATGCCTTTGACAACTTCAGACCCTGTTTCACAAGGCATTGTTCGACTGGTTCCAATCAGATTCTGGTGCCCAAGAAGACCTGTTCCAGCAGACGAGACTCTCTGGGTGCAGGCCCAGGAATCTACCTCGGAAACAAGCTCTGCCGCAACTCGCTACAGGCTGACACTTTCAAACCACTGGCCTGCACGCCAAGTCCTCCCTTAGCGCTTCCACACATCTGTGTTGGGTCACGGAAGCAGGAAAGTAACTGCTCAAGGGAAGGACACACGGGGGAGCAGCAGCTCTGGCCCCAGGTCCAAGGACAGGTACAGAGATGCCTGTCTTGGAAGAGTCTTAGCTATGCGTCCTTTATACAGCACACAACCAGAACTCTAGGCTTAAAAGAAAAACGTGGGGCCAATTTGCAGAAACTTAAGAATGAAATGGTAACATAAGAATTATGTCCAGGATGGAGTTGCTCGAAGGATGCCCAGGGAATGTGGGAAGGTGGGGGGGCTGTCGGGTCTGGCCAAGGCCGGGTGTGAGGGCCCGTGGGAGCCTTGGGGTGGCCCTGCACAGATTGAGTTTCCCTGTTCGGCTGGTGAATAGGTTTCAGCTGGCGGTTTAGGGGGGAAGTTGGCCTCCCACCCACGGCTGAGCTACTGTTTCAGTTCGCTTTTCTGGGCACAATCAAGTACTTGAGGCCTTGGTGAGGTTAACCACAGGAAAACCACAAGAAAATGGCTTCGCGGCAGCCAGCCTGAAACTGGGGTGTAAAAAGCTTGGTGTTTGACCTTGGGGCCAGAGGGGGAAAGGGGACAGAGATGATGAGAACTGCTCTCATAGGCCATCCTCTAGCCTTCAACCACACACTTCTCTCAAAAATCCTCAACGGTCATAGGATCGCATCACTTAGCGTGCTCTGCTCTTTATGGGCAAGCGTGATATTGGATAAATGACATTTCCTCTCAAAATGTTTTTTATTCAAACTGAAAGGACTGACATTATCTTACTTTGGCAGTCAGTAATTCCATTGCATGACCACAGAAGCCCAGAATTAAGTCTTCATCTTCTCTGTAGCTCAGTTATCTTGCCTTTGTCTATTTCAATTCCAATTAATTCCATGTCACTTAGTGAACATTTGTGCTAGACACCAGAGAAGGAATTAAAGAGGGGAAAGCCAGAGAAATTCCTGCCCTCGTGGAGCAGACAGTCCAGAGCTGGGCTTTCAAACTTTAGCGTGCACGAGAATCACCTGTAAACATGGTGAAAACAATGATTGCTGGCCCCACTCCCAGAGTTTTTCTGGTCAGGCTGGAGAATTTGCATGTCTAAGAAGTTCCCAGGTGATGATGATGATGCTGGTCCAGGGACCACACTTTGAGAATCACTAGTGTAGATGAGTTTTCTAACTTCAAGTGAGGATGTGTCATCATGATCTCTACAGAAGCTTTTTCATATTATGCAAGCCAGTCACTGCCCTGGAGAAACCAGCTCCCACCCACTCTGGTGGGAAGAAGTTATCAGGCAATCAATCCTTTGGCTATTTCACAGCTACCCATTCGAAAAGTTTGAGAGTAGTCCACATTCACTTAAAAGAGGTAAGAACTTGGGGGACTGACTTATCAGTATCACTCGAGAAGCATTTGGAAAAACCGAATGTTGGGTTCATCTATTGAGATACAAATCTATGCTTTGGTCTTTGTAGTGGGAGAGTGGAAAGTGGGCATTCTCCTTCCTGAGGCCGCATGGCTAATAAGGTGCAGAGTCAGAATTTAAAGCCAGGTCTCCCAACTTCAGATCTTCAGAGCCACCTGAGCTGGAGCATTAGGCAGAGCCCTGACGTCCACACTCAGCAGTGTCAAGTCCTCCTCCTATTACTTCCTAATTTGCAAGTGGGGAGCATATGGCTGAAACATACTGAAAAAGGGGTCACAAAATTGTTCTGTAAAGGGCCAAGTAATAAATATTTTAGGCTTTGCAGTACCTATTAAAACTATTCAAGTGTGCCACTGAAAGCAGTCATAGACAATATATAAATGAATGAGTATGGTAGCATTCCAATAAAACTTCCTTTGCAAACATTGGTAGTGGGCCAGAGTTAGCCCTCCTGCTGTTGACTGCCGACTGCTGCTCTAGAAGATGGATACTGGAAAGTCCCAGAGCCTCAAACGCGTGTGGTGTTTCAGGCAACAGTTAATTCAGCAGCTTACGTCTGGTTCACTTCTGCATCACTCTGTTTGGCATAATCTGCACTGTCTGAGGAAAATCACTAGGTGATGCCAAAGACAGCTGGCAAGGGGGGCTTACCTGAACACCAGGGCTCCATCCCGAAGGCCCAAGGAAATGAAGTCACTGTTGGGTCTCATGGGACTGTCTCCCCTCCACATCAACAGGCCATCTTTGGCAGTCGTCTTAAACCTCATGAATGCGTTTGATCTTGATCCTGATACCCTGGAGGAAATACACAAGTAATTGCACCAAATCAACCATTCTCCACCAACATCTGTTCCTGAGTTTTTTCTGCCAGATAGAAGGATAATCTGGCATCTCTAGCACTTACTACCAGGAAATTAGAACTGGCATCACCACCACGAGTCACACCACAGGTTTAAAAGTCTGGACTGCTCAGTCTGCAGTATCGTGCCCCTCCCCCGCTGTGGTATGACCCCACAAGAGGGCACTTGATGAGTCAGGGATTAACCAGACTCTGGCCAGTGCCACAGTCCCAGGCTATTCCCCCTATACACACTTTAATCCTCCTTCTTTCTTGTCCAACTACTCAAGAGTTCTTGGGAAAGTGTTCCTCATTCCCCGACAGAAAGAAGGTTTCTGAATTGCTAAGAGGTTCAAGTTGGCAGTGTCTCTGGGCTATGATCGTGGCTGTGGATGGCCAGGTCTGGCAGTGACTGTCCTTGAGGGCAAAGGAGGAATGACTGGACAGGAGGCAGCACCTCAGACAAGGAATATGACTTGATGGGATAATGATCTTGAGAGCTGCAGTGTGGGGAGGAACAAGAAGCTGAGAAGAAAGCAGGGCTACTCTGCCAGGTCAGGTCCCGCCCTACAGCTGCGGCTAGGAACAGGGTCACAGGCTTTTGTGCTCTTATCAGTTAGTTCCTGGGAATAGACTAGTTCAGAGATCCATTCTCACTAAGGTGACCAGTGTTTCATCTGTTACAGGAAGAAGATCAAGTATGAGGTCCTTAGATAAAAGATAAGAGTAAACATAATTTAATATTACTACTAATATGGCGCTGTTGGAAAAGTCTCTTTCTGTTCTGTCCCTCGTACCACCCCTCTGTCTGCCCCACACGCCTAGAGCTGTACAGTGCATTCTGCAGTAAACAGTGGAAGAGACTTTCGTCTAGGATTCCCAGAGCTGGGTTTAGACGGCAAGAGACCAATGTTGCCTTCCCCAAGCGGGCGCTCAGAGTGGTGAGGGGGAAGCAAGGTCCATAGAACTGTCTTCTCCACCAGGCCAAGTGCATGCACAGCAATCCAGGCCCATTCTCTGGAGATCCGCTTTTCCCAGTTTTTTGTTCCAGGCTCCTTCCTTCCCTCACTTGTCTTAGATACACTGATTGGTAGAAGCCAAGCATGATGATGGTTCCATTTCTCTTGCGGTGATTGATTTAGGAGTAGGAATGTAACCATTATCCAGTCACATAGAGGAAATTTATCAAGAAGGTTCTAGGAAAGATTCCTTTCCTTTTAAAAAGAGTCACATGAGAAAAAAAAGTGTTTGTTTGTTTGTTTGTTTGTTTACTTTACCACTGGATATTGCGCTGAAGATTTATAGGTATCTTATGAGCATCTTATTGACAATTGTTTTACAACCATGAAGGGAGTAGCCTCTGGAGAACATGCTGAGGATAATAAAACAGAGAGACAGAGGAGACTTAGGTCTTTGATGATACAGTTGATTCTCTGAATTACTCAAGCCAGGATTTTTAAGAAGTCTGGACTGCTTGTTATATGAAATAGTAAATATCCTTCATGTTTAAGGCATTTTGAGCTGAGTTTTCTGTTACTTGCAGTCAAAGTCATCTAACTAAAACAGACCTAAACTTGACTTTTACCTACAGCTTCACACAGATGCATGCGTACATGCACATGCACATGTGCACACAAGTGTCATCCAAGGTGCTCTGGTTTGGAGGCCCCATGCCTCCTACGCTCATTAACCCCCGTATTCCTCCCAAACCACCTAGTGCAGTTCACTAAGCCTCAGGGGGCTGAAGATCTGGGTCCCTTTCACGCTGGCCCTGCTTTCTGGGGACTGAGTACCCTTATGTCTTTGGGGAAACAAGGTTGAAGAAGGAAGAGGGTCTCTCTTATTTAGGGATCTATTTTGCCTAAGGCCCCATGCCAAGACCACCTGGAAAAATAGAATGTGGGATTGGAGAAATGAAGCAATGTCTATCTGTCTGGTGTGCATTCAGTTACCAGGGTTATATGCGTCCGATGCCCTGGGAAAATGTCTTTCAACCATTTTTGTTCCTTAAAAGCCACCAAATTCTACCCTAAGGACTGGGTGCTTTTAGCTTAAAGCTTTATCTTAGTCTGTTAAGAAATAGTCAACTTGAAAAGGAAGGAACATTCTAGAGTGATTGCGCTGGTGGTCTAGTGGGAGATGGTACACTATAAACTACAAAGAACTAGGGGAGAGAAAAGAAAGAGAGAAGAGGCAAACTGAAAGCACCAAAGATGAGCGTCACTAGGTTGAGAATTTTGCCAAAGGGCCAGTTTATCCCTTTTCATATCAACAGGCTATTCCAAACCAGGAGCCTGGACTCCAGGGAAGGGCTGGAGCTTCTGCCACCAGAGATGGTGACTTGGACGTCTACTTGTGCCATGCTCCGGTATCCTCGTGAAGAGAGCTAAGGAACCCTTCACTGTACTGGCCAGAGCCTGAAGAGGACAGTGGACCTTTGTTTATGAAAAAGCAAAGTTTGTCTGGCGCCGAGGGAGCACCAGAACCTTCCTTTGTAGGCTCCAGGCAGAACTGCAGACTGTGGTCACAGAACAGCATGCAGCTAACTGCCCTGTCCGGGAAATCACACTCATAACCCTGGCTTCAGGAATGATGAATGCTGGAAAACCTGAGGCTGGGCACGTTCTTCTCTCCAGAACCTTTGACCAGACAGGGTTTGGGTTGCCTTTTCCAAGTTTAATTTGTCTTTTGTTTTGTTTTGTTCTGGTTTCTATGTTTATTTTGTGTGAATTGTCCCCTCGAGGCTATGGCTAAACTGCCTTCTCTGAGAATTATCTTCTGACAGTTAAGATAAGGAAACACCTTGGGAAAGACATTGAGAAATCTACCCCCAGAGAGATAAGGCAGGTGCCTACTGAAACTTATTACCTCTTGAGAATATCTGGATTGTCATAGGTCAGGTAACTGCGGCCGATAAACTGTGGAATCTCAATGGCTTCTGTGATGGCTGAGACAGAACAGAAAATGGAGGTTACATGGTACATGGGTCTCTTGACCCCGGCGCTGAACCACGTGGAAGGAAAATACAAAGAAAGCCAGCTCCTGGAAATATGACATTTTAACAGCTTGTCAGCTGCTTCCTCTTGGCTGCACACACTCTTGGCCAGGTTTGGAGCTGCCTGGCCTGATGGCCTCAAGTTGGCATCTCCCAGGTGTCCCCTCCCTGGAGCTAGCCATCACTTTTGATGCCCTCAGCACTACTGAGGAGCCTTGTGATATGCTGAAGCTTGAACTGTGCCCAGTTATTCTTGTGAGCCAAAGAGCAGGTCTCGGGCTATGTGGGGTGCAGCTGCGGGTAACCCTGGATGTTCTCTGAGGAAGGCGGAAAGAACAAGTCCCAGCAAAGCTCCCCCAGAACCCCTTGAGCCACATCCTCAAGGGACTGGTGAAGTGTGAGAAGTGAGGCTCTGACTCTTGTTTTTACAAAACACCTTCCAGTGTCATATTTCACAAGCTCTTCACCACAATCTCATGAAGGAGCAGGTAGCATGGAAAAAGGGAGGGTTGTTTAGTCCCATTTTCTAGAAGAGAAAAACGAGGCACAGAATCATCAAGGATTTGCCCAATGTCATACAGCTAAGAGAGCAATAGTTCATGAACCAGAGCGGCTCTCCTTAAATCCGGTCCTCAGCCCACTTCTTACTTTCCAATATTTTAGAAGTGTACTTCCTTTTATTCAACTTGTCATCACTTTGTTTTCCTGAGAAATCACCCTTTTCCACATAGTTAGCAAAATAACAGGTTTTATAGTTGGGGATAATTTAGGGGATTTCTGCCAGAGAGGTAACAGCCATATCTCTTTCCTCTTTAGGAAGACACAAATAGGACAGTTTAAAGAAATCAAGGTAGAATTAATCTCATTTCAAAGAAATGTACAAAACAAGAGAGAATTAGAGTTTCACAAAATATATGTAGTTGATGCAAAGCAGACACAAAACTAAGGACTCTGCTACGTGTATAATTATTCAATACTATTAATAACAGGAGAGTTTAAACTTAACTTCTAAACATTTAAAAGAGAGAAAGAGAGAGAGAGAGATAAAGCAAACCCCAAAACCCAATGACATTGGGCTTCCAAATATAAGTTCCTATGTTGGCAGGTCCCCCATGGCATGTTCCCAAAATCTTTTCATAAAAAGTAAAATTAAGAAAAAGAACGAGAACAAGAAAAACAAAGGAAAAGAAATAAAAAATTTAAAGGTAATTTCTGAGGTAACTATCCAAGAAATCGCTTTATTGCTCTCTAAATCAGCACTGCCCTGGACAAGGGGGCCTGCCAGCCCAGAGGGCCTATTAGGGACAGGGACAAAGACAAGACTTTGGAATCTTGAAATTCTGTGCCTCACCACCAGCCTGTCTCCCTTCTGGTTCAAGTGGGTAGGAGAAAGAGGAGAAGAAAAGAAAAGGAAGGAGAGAGAGGAAAAAAGAATGGGATGCAAACTGGCAAGAACTGAGTAGAAAGACGAGTAGTCAGAGCGGGGGAAATGCCAAGAAAGAAAAGGAAGAGAAAGCATTAAAAAAAAAAAAAAAAAAGAGTAGCCAGATGGACAGGCAGCCCCTGGGCAAGGAATGGAAAAGACAAGGCACAGAGAGAATGGACCCAGAAGAACAGAGATAGAAACGGGAAGGCAAGCATGGTGGATGAGAGGAGACCTAAGACCACGGAACTACAGGAGGCAAAAGGGAGCTCTTAGCTGGGGCCGTCGGCTCTAAATCTCAGGATATTAGTGTTGAGAAAGGAGGAGGAGGAGAGAGAACAGCCAAGCTGATGGAGGAGTCTTTCCTACAGCTAAACATAACCAAGGCACCCCTGCTGGGTTTGGCTCACCCCGCGGGCGAGAGGCATAGGCAGGCCCTGTCCCTGCTGTTATTGGCCATGGCCTTGGGCCTGTGGCCAACAGCTATTGCTCTCCTGGACTCCTTGAAATGGCCAGGATGTGCTCGTCACACATCAGCTCCGCACACGGAGCCTCAAAAGGGTCTGCGTGAGTCCAGCTGCCTGCTAAGCCCCCTGGCTCAGAAGCTCAGGTGCTTCCTGAGGGCCAGCTGGGACTTGTGTGTTCTCAGGGCTGGCGCTTTTGGAGGGAGGATTCCCACCCCCCTGCCGGGTATGTCCAAATCCCACGCCACTCACCCCAGTTACCCTCTGCCTGTGGTTGGCCTGCATTGTGCCCGCAGCCTGGCCAGAGCCCAGAGCACTTTCACAGTCTCTCATAGGACTTACTGTACTTACTATTGAGGCAGTAGTTCCCACACTCTGCCATGTGCCAGCATGAAACAGAACAGGGAAAGTCAGAATTTCACAGTCATTGTAAAATCCCAATTACTTTGGTTGCAGATCACTGGAAACCAGCCTTGTTCCTCTCATAAAGCCCCGCAGAGGGCCCAACTCACCTCCCAGTCTGGGCTTAATGGTAGGGGTGAGGGTGGGGGTGGCGGTGGACCAAGAAGTGTGTGTAATAAGTTGTCTGACACCTCTGAGGCTCCCTTGACCTTTCCAGGTTTATTCTAAACCTGGAAAAACAGTTCCTTGCTAAAGAGTTACTTACCTTGTCAATGATTATTACTTTTCTTGGCTCTAGGCTGTATGCGAGAAAGGAATGATAAGCCAGCCGGCTGCCTCTTTTCTCTCCAGAGTGAGTGGAAAACATCACCCTAATTCCCAGTCTCCCCTCCCCTTTTGCAAGAATCCAGAGTTCCAGCTATCTTGTGGTTAACAAAGGGCAGGGGAACCCTCTAGAAATGACACCACTGAATACTAAACGGTGAAAACGTACTCACTGCAGTCAGTATATATGGATATGTACTAATTCCATCCTAAAACAGTGACCGTCTAGCCCTCTTTGGCTCTTTGTTGTTTGTTTAAATATTATAAACATGATTATATTTAACCTAACCCTTTATACCCATTTTTTTCTACGTTGTCTTCCCCCCTTCCCCCCGTGGTGAAGACCTTACTGACGATTAATCAAAAGGTGCTTTTGTCACACCCTCATGTTTATACCTGAAAGCTCATACCTCTGGCGACACAAAAAACACCCCAGTGGAGAGCAGCCTCTAAGCCAGGCGAAGCACATTTTCCACTTGTGGGACTTGAAATTCCCAGTAGACTATAAAGAGTTGAAATGAGTGCTGGCTCCTTCACACAGTCAGCCACAGGACCGTCGTGAAGGCAGGACCTGGAGTTGCTGTACTGTAGCTTTCCCAACAACTGGGAACCCTCTCAACAACATCCAGTGGATGCCCGTGCAGCCCGAGGAAACACTTTCTACACCACATAGCTCACTCACCCACAGGGGACGGTACTACTTGGTACAGAATTCTTGTTACATGAAGCAGACTCTGTAGCCGCAAAACAAACCAACAAAAATCTCTCTCTACACTACCAGCCGTCAGCTATCTAAAGACCAACATCTAGGCTGAACACTCCTCAATTTTTTATTGTTTAATCATACACCATACTAAGAAAAGAAATTTCCTGTAGTATGCATATTTTATTAATTCGTGTTATTTTATATGCTGGGTTTTCTTTAAGTATGGCCTATATTTATTGAAGCTATTTTTCATACATTGAGACTCCCCCAAATTCATCCAAATCAGATCCAGCAATATGAGGTGAATCTACTAAATACAATGTAAAATGCCCTAATTGTTGTGTAGGTGGTAGGTCCGTATAGATCGGGCCAGATCCCATCTTTTAGGACCAGGCATTTTTGACACAGTTGTGCCCTAAGCCCAGGCCTCAGTAGCTATGAGTGTCCAGTAGCATGGATCAGCTCACCTGCTACAGAGAAACACCCCCATCTAGTGGCCTGTGGGGTCCTACACTATCTGAGCCCAAGCTGTTCCCAGGAACGAAGGGAAGGGAAGGGAGGATCAAGGCTCCCAGTTCTTCCCCAAGCAGTCTGTCAATCGGCTGGGAAAACCCTAAGAGAAAACAGCTGCACCCTGTACCCTTGTTCTCAACACTCAGAGCATAACAAAGGCTCTGAAAAGTCCCACAGAAGAGAAAGCTGTTGAACTGTGTTTATCCAGCCTTACCCAAACTTATTTGACCACAAAACCGCCCTCGCATTTTGTATATGTGAAGGTATGTGTGTCCATCTCTGTGTGTGTACAAAACACCCATTAATATTCCTTAGAACTTAAATTTTTGCATGCGCTTTGCGAAATTCTGCTTTAACTTATTAGCAACTTACTTGAATGTAAGAGCCATGGGGACCGTGACACAATATGGATAAATTTGGATGAGAGTAGAAAGAGGAAAAAAATCCCTAGGAATGGCGACTACTTTTTTGAATAGGGAGGCCTTGTTGACACCTCTCTGGTGAGATGAGAAGGGGGGCCTCTGTATTGGGGTGCTGCTTTGGGTGCTGAGGTTTGAGGTGGAGGAAGACACCTAAGAGGGAGAGCCCCCTAATGAAGGTGAGGTGATCACCAAAGTCAAGAGTTATGATTCTTGTTGGCCCCTGAAGTCACGGCTGTGAGTTAGAAGCTCTGGCTCCTGCTGCCCTGGGTGGGTTCCCAAGATTGGGACAGCGAGCCTCCATTTTCTGCAGCTGCTCCTTCAGGGAGCTGACAGTGCCCTAAAATTGCAGCCCCAGGGCTCAGGGGATGCACCATACCCCTCTCTATCAGGCTCTCCTAATCCTGCCCCCGACCTTGCAGGGACAAAGGGGGCTCCCGAAACCATCATAATGGTCTGGGCGCCTAGAACTGCTCCAGGATTTGTCTGAATTTAGGGCCCCAGCCCCCTTGAGCCACCAAGTGGTGAGAACAAGCATCCAATCTCCTGACCAGCGCCCTACTGGAATTCTCCTGCCTACCACAAATGCTCTAATGAGGTTAGAGAAAACCAGACTCATTAAAGATCCTAAAAACTAAATTCCTGATGGAGAAGGTGCCCCTTGGTATGAACTGAATGGGGCCTGGCACTGGTGATTTCGACACGATGTTGCTCAATGTAAAAGGGCAAGTTTAACTTCTGTGGGGAATACTAGGAGTAGGTTCCTGCTTTTGAAGGGTGACCTAGTTTTCAGGCAGAGAAAGAAAAAGAAAAAACAACATAAACTTTTAAATATATGAGGCTACGAATCATCTTGCTGGATTAGGCAGCGTTCTCTCTCACAACCAAGAATGGCTTCTAATCATTCTTGGTTTGTTAAGCTAAGGATTTACCCAAACTTTTAGAATGTTCTCTTGCATCTCTGTGGAACAATTGTAGTTGCCCATTTCTCTTCCTTTTTTTTTTTAATTTCAATTCTTACATGAGACTAGATGATTTTCCCAGTACAACGGCAGTTTGTGTGGCAACCGGGACCTGCTCTGTGCCTACTGGGTCCTGGAAAATTTGTCATTAAACAGCAGCATCCTGCACGCAGAGCCCCATTAATCTTCTGAAGGCGTATAACAGGAGACGAAGTTATGTAACACAGGCCATGCCTCCCACATATGAATCTTCCTAGCATTGGCAATGGCTCCCATTGTGCCAGAAGCACCATCTTTATTTCAAAGCACAAGGAGATACTGATACAACAGAAGGGCAGCCGATGGCTCTAACCCTGTGTGTTTCAGAGAGAGGCGTAAAGGCCCCTCCAGTTCCCCACGCCACTGTCCATTGCTTGGATCTTGCCAGGAGGCCCAGACCCTCACCAGAGTGCTGCCCCTTCGTTCTGGTAAGATTTGTTTCTCTTTGAACCTGAACCTATAGTTATGAAACTATAAACGTGAGCTCTTTCTATCTGTGATGGCTAATGTTCTGTAACAGGAAATGAGCATTAACAAGATCACAAATGATCCTTTCCTTCTTCCTTTATTTCCCAAAGCTAACTGTCATTTAAGCCCGGACTTTATATATTGACTATTAGTGTTAGTATTTACAGCAGAAGCAAACTTGAATTGCTTATGGTAAAACGGAGACCTAGGAAATCCAATTTTCTGAATGAATGGGCCACTCTCGAACTAAATCTCTGCAAGTACGAGCTATTAGCTAAATAATAATTTGCTTGTTAGAATCATAATCAGGCTCATTCACAAATGGATCAATTACTCTTCTTTGGGAGTTTATCACTAGGGTGACCTGTGTTAATGAATATATTTCACATGATTTGTCATTCAGGTTTCAAAATTCATTTAAATATAATATTACTTAATCTTCCAACTGGCAAATTGGCATCTTTCATATTTTCTATGACCGCTGCAAATAACATCTCCTGTCCTTCTGTACACCGAAATATCTACCTGTAATTTACCGTTTTCTCTAAGCCCTACTTCTGACAAAAATCAGGAACCTGGAAATAAATAGGAAAGAGAGAGAGAGAGAGCATATTCCTCCACTAAGGCTGGCTGCCTTATTTAAGCCAGGGCTGTCTATCTTTTATTATTATTATTATTAGTTCCCAAAAAGGTGAGACCATCTTGACATTCTAAACAAGAAAGTCTATATGGCTCAACGTGATGGCCATATGTGGGCAGGCCTCGTCTAGACAGCAGGCCATGGCCCCTGTCTCCCCTGAGCAGGTGTGGAAAGCTCAGTCCGGCAGGGGCTCAGGGTCTATGGCCTGTTTTAGCTTTCAGACAAGGGTGGGCTGGAAGCTGAGTAGCTCACAGCACCTGCTAATGATAATGGCTGCCATTGGTTGAGTACCTACCAGCCATTCTTCTAAGGACTATGTACTGCTCCATTCCTCATCTAAAGAATATGCATCGTCTCATTTTAATCTACACCAAAACCCTCTGCATTAGATACTATTGCTATTATTATTCCCATTTTACAGATGAAAAAACTGAGGCACAGAAGAAACTTAGGTAGAATGGAAAACAGCCCCCTATGGAAGGTTATTTGTACTTTAGTTTGCAGCAACTAATGTACAATTTATATTCTTCTGTACTCGGCAAGATGTCTGATTTCTCTTTATAACATTCACAGGCAGGGGTCAAATATTGAGTCAAAATATTTATCAACCTATAAAACCTAGGCACCCACCTGGCAGGGTAGGCTCTTGCAGTGGCTCAGATGCGGGGGCCTTGGAAAACCCCCTCCATTATGGGCTAACCTTTTGGTTTCCGGACCGTGAGGGGAATCTCAGGGAAGAAGCCAGGGCAGGAGGGTGGGAGAGCTATTTACCTACTGTTTACAGAAATATTTCAGCATTTTAATTATTAAATAATTATAGTAATTTTTATGTAATTAACCATCTCATATGTTATTGAAATCATCAATAATGATAACCAGTACGACTCTTCTCCTAAGAGTGACAGCCCACCAACGATCTGTCCATCCCTCTGCTTCTGGAAGCAGTGCCTGAGACCCCCGCAGGTACCTTTCTGGCAGTGCAGCCCCTCAAAGCCCAAGGGGCAGTCACACTCATAGCCCTCCTTCCGGGGCCGGCAGCTGCCCCCGTGGGTGCAGGGGCCTCCCACGCACGGGTGGGCCGCATTCTCCACATTCACGCCCGACGTAAAGTCATGTTTCACATGGATGGTCCGGTCGTTCAGGATGATCTTGGGGAGAGAAAACATAAAGAAATTCAGGAATTCACTATCTTTGCAGTCCTCTAAAGCTTCCCTCGGCACACTAACCTGAACTACGTGCAGGGAGGGAGCTTTCAGAATAAGAGAGAAAGTTGCTGCCTCGAGAGTCAGTCTTGTAAAGTGACGCAGGAACTGCATTAATGACATTTGGCACATGGGAGACTCTGCCGAGTAAAGCATCCTCTGGTTCTGGAAGACCTGGCCACTCCGGGAGGTGGTAGAGAAGTTCTAGTTAACACCCAAGTCAGGTTCGCAACCTGACTGCAGATTAGTGTCGCCTGGGGAGTTCCAGGAAATATACTATTGCCCAAGTCCTACGCCAATCGATTGAATCAGAATTTTTGAGGGTAAGACCCAGTCATCGGTAACTTTTAAAAGCTTCCCAGGTGAGTCTAAGATACAGCAAAGGTTGAGAGATGCTGTTATAAAGCTGAGTAGGGAAAAATCCAAAGCAAAGTGTTATGCAGGCAGGAATCACAGGGGGAGCAATGGCTTCTGTTGGCGGTGCAATCAGAAGCTTCTCGCTGTACTGCTCTGTTCTTCTGACTAATGTTCTCGTGTAGTCTTCTCAAGGTCCATCGACTGGGCCTTCCCATTGTCCCACTGGCTCCTGCAGCCCTTCTTCCCTGACATTCTTGAATTCTCTTCCTCTCCACATCCCCTTCACCCATTCCAAAAAAAAAAAAAAGGAAAAGATCACGTTGAGCACTGCTGGGCATACTCACTGAGAAAAGAGTGCTCTTTTGCCCACACCCCCTTTTCCCTGCAATGGGGCGCTGGAGAAACTGATGAATTGTAGGGAGAGGTTACTGGGCTCCCCGGCCCCAAATAAATAGACCCATTGTTTTCAGCCCTTGATTCAGAGTGTATATTAATCCTGAGCTATTGATGTTTCAACGTCTCACATGCTTTGCAGAACTCAGCCACAGTGCACCATGCAGAGGGTCCTGAGCAGTTAGCGATGGCTCTTTCTGCCACGAATTCATGTTTCCACTGGTCTGCCTAGTCTTTGGACAGTGTCAGGAAAGCTAGGAGAAAACTTTGTCCCAGTCTTGAATCTCAGAAGCTGCTAGAGAGTAGCCAAAATCCATCTACAATCTCCCCCTTCTCATGCTTCGAGTGATGGATTGTGAAATTCTGTATGTACTCGAGACAAGCCAAGAATGTCACCGTTCACTGCAGGATAAGGCACAGCCAATGACTTTGTCCTTGGGAGCGGAGGGTGGCCTTTCCAGGAATTGAAGAGGAAAGGGTTGTGTGTGCTGTGTGAAGGGGGAGGGGTGATAAAACCTGACATGGAGAGGAGAAGGCGAAGCCTCTTAGGTTGCAGCTTGCTTCCTAAGTGAGAATTTCAACACATGATTAAACATGGCCAATCCCACTCATGGAGGGGACAATGGTCAGGGCTGAGGTGTCACTGATATAACAGTTCAACAGCAAAGGGAAACACATCAGTCAACAAATATTGATTGACTGGACCCCACACGGGGTGACAAGATAAGGACAGAGCCTCAGGGACCCTTTCCAGCACCAAGATGAGCAAATCATGACAGGACCTTCCTTCGCTGTCCTTCCTTCATCTTACCCTTCCTCATACTTTGCCTCGGGCTTGAAAAGGATCCGTGGCCCACATCCCACCATTGGTTGCTAAAGGAAAACAGGATGCCACTAACATCCAAGAACAGAATATGCTTTTCTTCAAATCCTTTTTTTCCTGTGTTTGCTGGTCCTGGGAATCTGGGTTGGTGAGTCAACCTGCATGTCTGTTGCAGACGGAACACATGATTCTCATACAAGAGAGATGGGCGGCCCCATGAGAAGGGCTAAGAGATGAACATGAGTGGGCCGAATGCCCTGCATCTTTTATCAGCTGAGTGTTTTTTTCCTCAACTTTCTCTGGAAGGGCTCTTTATTCTATATCTTAAGAGTTTGGTTACATGATTGATCAACAACTGCTAAATTCTAGAGATGCCGGTGGGGGATGGAGGTGGGAATGAAAGTTGGTTCTTGCCTTGAGCAAACTGCATATTAACCCCAATGAGAAGCATAGAGCCAAGAGTTGCTATTAGATCCCATTCACTTCCTTCCCTTTTGTAGAAGTATCTGAAGCAACTTGAGGCCAGTTGCCTCCTTCAACAGTCTCAGGACATTTTGGTGGACTTGCTATAAAAATTCATCTTCATCAGATTGCATTCATGTTATGTCTGCAGGCACAGACTCAGGAGCAGACGTTATGAGAAAGTGGGGTTGGAAAGCTATGCTGTGAGCATTAAAAAACAAAATCTTAAAAATGTTAAAACTTCCTCAAAGTTTCTTTTTTGGGTGCAGCAGTTGGCACTGATTACTCAGTGCCATTATCTGCAGTCACGGTCACTCAATAAACATGAGAAAGTGAAGCCTGTACCTTCTGGATGCTCCCACTAAATGGCTTGATGATGCCCGAATTCTTCTTCACTTCATCGTAATTGGGGACTCCGCCAATAAAAATGTCCGTGTTGCACTTAATCTGGGTGAAGCCACCCTGCCGACAGATTAAAAACAAAACATGACATAACTACAGACAAGACGGTGAAGACCACATGTGCCTTGGGTTCCTCAAGACCCATCACGACCATCTGTCTGTCTGCATGTCAGCTCGACTCCCCGCCCCAAGTAGCTTTGCATCGCTACTTACCACCTGTTTGAATGCTTGTGATTTTCTTAACCTTTCTGAGACTCAGTAACATCATCTATGACATGCGAATCACAATAGCTACCTCACGGTGTGTCATGATGAATGCGGCGGCCTGCTCCTTCAGCAGCACCCCCTCCCTGCAGGAAGATTACCTCCAATCTATTGATCTCAAGTGGGGCCCTGTAACTTGCTTTAGTCAATAAAATGTGAGCAGAAGAGATATGAATCACTTCTGGACAGAAGCTTTCAGATCCGGGGAGTGGTTCACCGCGCCCTCTTCCCGAACCACCCCAGTTCCTTCAGACTGGGTCTCAGATGAAAGCTGTAGCTGGCCATTGATGGACTTGTAGCGTGAGTGTGAAATGAACCCTTATTATAAGCTGCTGATACTTGGGTGTTGTTTATGACTGACTGTAGCACGGTCTAGCCGATCCTCACACTGAGATCCATTTATTTCACATTTTTCCCAGACTTGCGCGCACACTCACATTCCAGCATGGCTGGTTATTGTTATATTTGGTAATGGTAAAGGTAGAACTTCTTTAGGCCAAGAGAAAGAGAAGGCATGGCAGTGGGAGGCATTTCTTCTTATCAGCTACAAAAGATAGAGAAATTGTTCCATTTTCCAAATTCTCAGAACTCATTGTCAATCCCTAAAGGCTTGCTCTGCCTCTGGTTGTTTCGAGAGCCTAAATGCCAATGGCTGGGCTACATAACAAGCTGTGTATAATATTTAATGTCTACACTGCTTCAAACATGGTTCATAGCAAAATGTTAAAATGTTCTAAGATAATATACAGAGATAAATTAAAATCTGAGATCTCTGGGGATGAAACACACTTTGGGTAACATAAGGTATTGTTTCCTTTGATTTATAGTAAAAGAAACACAAATAGTAGCAGCATTCAGTCATTTATTTAACAAGTATTATTGGGCACCTACTGTGGTCCCAGGAACTAAGTGCTGGACAAGCAACAGTGAATGAGAAAGATCCAGTCCCAGCTCCCCAGAGGCTTACACAGGGGGAAATGCAGACAAGGAAAGGCAGGTGAACTTAGTCCTGTGAGGCCTGTCTAGGTGGCTATGGGTACCACAGATACAGAGAGTGGAGAGTGGTCAAGGAAGAGTTACAATTGTAGAAACTGGACAAAGCATAAGGCAGAGGCGAGGAGGGACCAGATCATGCACACGGAAGAATTTGCACTCTACCCAAAAAGCAATGAGTTTTATGCAGGAGAGAGAATAGTGAGATCCGTGTTTTAGGAAGATCACTGGCTGGAGGAAGGAGACTGGTTATGGGGTCTGGTGTTGGGGTCAGGGTGGAGAAGGGAGAACAGAGAGGAGGATGCTCCACACAGGGGAGCACTCTCAGTAGCTGCACCCCGCCCCACCACCCCCCCGCCAGGTAACAGCTAGGGCGTCTTGATTAGATTACAGGCGAAAATGCTTTCTGTCAACAACCTTCGGGAAGTTTTGAGGGTTCTTATTGAACTTAGGGGGAGGTGGGGCCATCAAAGAAGGGCTTTCAGAGATTCTTGTGGCCCAGTGGAATACTGAGCCAGGCAAGAGCTGTCGCCACACACCTACAGGCACCCATCACTGTCTGTCTGCTCTTACCTGAAAGTTAAACTAATGAAAGGAAGGGAGGAAGGTTGCCAGGATTAAAGAGATTTCAGAGAAGCAGGCTGTTTTGACAAAGCTTTGACTTCCCGTTATATCCAAGCAACAGGGCAGGGCCTTGTGAGGTGAGAGCAGATTCCTTTTGGTTGCTCATCAAAATCCTCCCTTTACCCCTCCTGTTGACAAGTTGCCACACCTACACGGGACTGCAGGACAGAAGCAAAAAGACCTCACCAAAATGAGGCCTTTACGGAAGTGAGGGGTTTCGTATCTGGATCTGACACTTCTGTTTAGCTGGAAGTGGTTGGAAAACTTGAGTAACCCCCACCCCCAGTTAGATTTTCTAAGGCCCGTGGAAGCATGGCCCCTTGAGTTGAGAGCCGCCATAACTTGGCCCAACCTCAGGCTATTGGTGTTTTTCATTGCAGTCAGCTGAGCAACGCAAGGGTCAGGTTTAGTTTGGACACAGACTCTTAGGGGCCCAGCTCCTGGGTTAGCCCCCAGGAGTGTTCTATAACTCCTGGCTGCTGGTCTCTAAGATCTAAGGCCACACACACACACACACACACACCCTGCTTTAAACAGGGCATCACAGCTGGAGAACAGCTGGGGGAGCTTTGATGGGGCCTTCCCATTCCTGTCTCATAGTGGCCTCGATAGAACCACCCTCACACACACACAAAATAGCCGCACCTTCACTCCCACATGTTTATTTATATCACTTTCCAGGTGGGCAGCACTCCAGCCAGCTCCATCCGTCCAAACACAGTTCAAAAACCCAAAAGAAAGGGTACTGGCTCTACCATATTGATTTAATTTTCATCCCCTGACATGGTGATAATAGAAACGCGGAGGTGTGGTGTCCTCTGTGTTGTCTCTTCACTGTCAGATCCCAATGGTAAATACCAGGCCCTGAAGAGTTCCTCATTTATCATCAAAGACCTCAAACCCTACTCTTTACAAATACTATCGTTCTAAGCTTATGTTCCTTTTTTACAGATCTTTGTAACTAAGGCCTAGAGAGGTACAATGCTTTTTAGAATTTATATTATTAAATGAACATATAGTCAGGTCTATACTTGCGACCTTCTAATTCTGTTTTAGACTAAAGTCAGCTGTTAGAATGATCTGGATTCTACTAGAATTGACTTCTGTTATCCCTTTAAAATTCATTTCCCTTCATCTATTAGTTCATGAGGGTGGGACCCTTATGATAGGATTAGTGCCCTTAGAAACAGATGAATCTAGATCTCTCTCCCTCCATCCTTCCCTTCCTCCCTCCCTCCCTCCCTCCTTCCCTCCTTCCTTTCCTTCCACAAATATATATGGAGCATTTTCTAGGTGTGAAGGGTGCTTGTCTCTTGAAGCAGAACTCAGTTGGGGCTTTTTCTCATTCCCAAGGAGGACCTCCCACCGCTGCCATCCCCAGGGAAGCTTCTGGACGTGTATGTCCTTCTTCCTTCTCTCTTCAACCACTACCTCTTACTCTGCCCAAAGTCTCTTTTCCTTCCTTTTTTCCCCACTACCAATCCATTTTCTTATCACGCTCACATTCATTAGTGCCCTCTTTAAATATTGCAATGCACAAAATTAAGACTATTTGAAATTAAAATATTGGCAAATCTATTGTCCTCTCTACAAACTTTTTGTGTGTGCATAATCTTAGTTGGTTATAGTTGAAAGCAAATTTCTCTTATTTCTTCTTTAAAATGTCACTTTCCTTTGGACATGTCTTTGGAAATAAAATTGTGGATGAAAGTTATCAACTTGAGAAGAAATTATGAGCTCTCGAGGCCATGAGAGTACAATATTAACTAATAACAGTAAGTAAAGTTACATAGCGCTGACCATACGCTAGATACTGCTGTGTTTTACATATATAGTTATTCTAATTTGCACATTTCTATGAACTGGCACTATTATTATCACCATTATCCCCATTTTATAGATAAGAAAACACAAACTCGGGATTTGAGTTCACACTACTAGTAAGTAATGGAGCTAGATTTTGAATGCCAAAGTCTGGTTTCAGAGCTTGTGTTCTTGTCAGATGTATGACCCCGCGCCCCCCCGCCACACACACCGCTGGCCCTGCCTCAGAGTCTGCCATCCGACCTACTATACTATGTTACACACCCACACGAACAAAGGCAGGGGTTGGCAGTGAGAAGTGGAGGTGGCAGGCAGCGTTTTAAGTGCTGTACTTGTATCAGCTCATTTAATCCTTAAAAGCACCCTGTGAGACCTCTACTATTATCGCGGTTGAGAAATAGAAAAGTTAAGTAACTCACCCAGTGGGGAGCTTGGGTTTTAGCCCAGGCAGTCTGGCCCTGGAATCCATGTACTTAACCACTATGCTTTTGTTTCCAGGGCAGGAAGAAAACAGTGACCCCATCCACACTAATCATCAGAAGCACAGGTGTGTCCTTACCTCTGCCATGCCTTCCACTACCTTCTGCTTATCCACCTGTAAGATGCCATTCTTCGCTGTGCGAGAAACATGCAGCTCGTGCCAGTGGCCCAGGGTGAGGGGGTCTTCACTCCTGTTGAAGGAAGGAAACTGAGCATGGGTTAGCACCGTTGGTGTTACAGGTAATGTTCATCACTCTCTCCAGTGAAACTGGAGTGATTCATTGGGCATCTCATTCTGTTCAGCAAAAAAGAAACAATCATCCCGACTTAGTAAACACAGCCATGTTAGCATCATTCGTTGGACCCCTTCATGGCAGGAAAAGTGCATTTATTATTTTACTTATTCCTTACAAAAGACATGAAATGTGAGTGGGATGAGCCTTGTTTTCTAGATGAGGAGTGACAGGAGGGTAAAATGTGATCATTGCTGCACACGAGCTTTGAAGAAGAGAAATTACATGGGCTATGTTGTAAAACACAGATTCCTTGGTGTTATCTGAAGCATCTTTTGAAATGCATAGAAAAATAAGATGGATGGATGGATAAATGGATGGATGGATGGATGGACGGATGGACGGATGAACGGACAGACAGATACGAGGATGGCTAGATATGTGAAAAAGCAAATATACCAAAGTGTTAATTGTAGACTATAGGAGGTGGGTATAAGGATATTTACTGTACAATTCTTTCGACTTTCGTATGTGTTAGAAAATTTTCATAATAAAATATTGGGGCAGGGACAGGTTCCATGTCATCTGACATTGTGAGAGGGATTAAAAGTACTTCAAAAATTCAGTTTTTAATTCAAGGTGGAAGCACCTGAAGTTTAAAGAATATTGATAATAGTTTTACACATTACTTTTTATAGCGAGGTGTGCAAAAAGAGTGTAATTATTGCATTTGTATTTCTAACGACATAGTTCCTGGCCTTCACTGTACCTCCCAATTATTTTGTGATCCTGGATCATCTTCGGAAAACCATCAGGAATACCAATGCGTGCAATTATTGAAAGGTCTTCACCCTCTCACTTGATTTTTTGCTCTGGCAAATGCTTTTGTGATTTGTCCTTAGCAATTAGGATTTAATCACCTTGGCTAAATCAATATGCAATAAAAAACCCAGCGGCACTTTTTAAGTGGCCCTGTCTCCATAATAAGTAACAGCTTCTTAGTCATGTTCTTGTCCTGCAGAGGTCATTCCCTGTCAATATGCTGCTTCTTCAGCATAGCTATATTGATCACGGTCACCGCAAGCTCATTTCAATTGTCTCAATTTTTGAATCAAGTTCCTAATGAATTTGACCATCATACCCTTTTCCTAAAGTTAAAATGATTTGGCCCATTTCACAACTTCCAATAGTTCAGGCTCTCATGGAATTTTCTTAATTAAGCAGGAAGTCTCAATGTTTTCAATATAAACATCTTCCGAAGGGGCGGCTGAAACACTAACAGTGATCATAGTTGTCAGGTTACCCTGGAGAGGGGACAGGACAAGGAAGCAGATGGTTGTCAGGTTACCCTGGAGAGGGTATGGGACAGAGAGCAGATGGTCATTCGCCGTTCCTTGGGAACTCGGAATGCTCACCTCCTTTTCATCACACGTAATACTCAAGAATTCTTTTTCCAGGCACCTTTCTTGACAGGCAGGAAAACAATAACTCTCATTTTTAAAAAAGTTAAAAATGCTCCTTGTCAAAAGTTGGCACATAACTAAGAAAGAGAAAAGCTGGACTTTCTGAGGTCTCAGGCCTCTGTGACCGCCACAGCTGGAGCTGCGACTGCAGAAGCACAGGGGGCGATCTGTCCAGGAGGTGGGCTGAGGAGTCTCAACTCTCCCCTGGCTCTTTCTGGTCATCCCTTATCCAGGAGGAAGCCATTTGAAAGTACAAGGTGATATGCGAGGTGTCTTCCTTTCTCAACTTGACAAATAGTTCTAAGAGAATTTCTTAGACTGGTTTGCATAATCATATGTAAATTGAATCAGTTAAATACCTACTAACGTTGTCTTGAGACATAGGATGTTTCTGCATTTCTGTATAACCAAAGAAACAAAAGTGTTTGTCCATTCCCCAAGGTGAGAGATGTTACTGATGTATAGGAATTCAGTTATAAGGGCAAAAACGAACTGTCTTTTTGAAGAATTATGGAAACCTAATGCAATGAGCATTTCCCATCAGCTATGAAAAATGACCAGCAATTAAGGGCAATGCATGGTTGGAACGTCTCACCCACATGCTCTTCCTAAAAATGACAGTCCAGCAATATGAATGAAGATCGAATATGACCTGTGATTTCCTTCAAAACAACA